ACATACTTCAGTTTAAAGGGTTTTATCTCTTCATTATACCTTTTCGCCGTTAAGTCCCTAATGACTTTTATGGTCACTTATTAAGGGATCGAATTGGACAGAGAGACGACGTCAAAGAATATCAAAATTTCGTTGGATTCATAAGCGACGCCCCTGAGGCTTATACAAGATTTGTGTTTAAGATACTGCTGTATATTTTGAACCCTTTGTTAGTTTCTTCAATTAGTTAGTTATTTGGTCAGTCCGTAGGCAGTGAAGCATTTCAGTGCCACGACTAGGAACGTTTGGCTCTTGCATTTTTGTCAAATCGCCGAAGTGTGCCTGGGCAGAATTTTGTGGTTTCATCCGTCGACAAACATCTTCAGTTATTGCCTTTTGGTTCTTCATCGCAGGGGTCGTATGAAGCTAACACTTGAGCACATACTACACCTTTACTGATCATCTTTACAAACAAAATCAGAGATCACAGATGAACTGGGCTTCTTATGTCTAATGTTCGACTCGAATTGATTAGTTGTTGTGCACGTCATCCAAAATTAAATAATTCGGATTGCTTAAGTAACTCTGTACATAACTCCTTTTTGGACCCACTCAGTAGGCAGGATAACTTTGTTTTCGTGCGTACTCTGCTTTGGTGTACAGGTTTATGATTGACCAGGTGTCAATAAGGCTTACTTTGCATTTAAAATTATCATCAAAAATGTATTTTTGGGGTTACCAGTCACGATTCCATGCAAACATGAAAATAAATTTTCGTGTGTGGTTTTTTGCTTGCTTTCTTTTAGTAACTGTGCGCTGCAAGCAAATTTCAAGCTGCATTCTCAAGGCATGCAAACATTTGCCGACAGATGACCTACCAACTTCTAATAATTTTGACAGTTCCTTAAGCATTTAACACAAAATCCACATAGGTTAAAGTATCAATTCATCCTCTGCATTTTCCAGTTGTTCTTACAGTTCTTGATATTCTGCGTCAAAATTTCCACACTTACGTCGTTCGAACCAATTCCTGCATATTCAATTACAATGTATTCCCCACAAGCGTCCCAAAAATAAGAGAGAGTTTTAGCAGTTATTTTTTATAAGTTAAAATAAAAAACAATGCCAATAGTCAATACTTCTTTTTTTGACACAAAGTGCTCCCTTGTCGTACATTAACAATTTAATGTTCACTTTTTATTTTAATGTCATAAACTAAATATAACAATTTTGTTAACGTACCTTAATCAAATTTGTTGCCAATTTTAATTACCTAAAGGCGGTTCCTCGGCGTGAAGGTGCCAACGATTATCAGTCATGAAGAAAAGGAAAGCAATCTACTGTAAAGTAACCATCATTAAAAGTACCATCTATTTCAGAGGCAACCACGCACAAACGTATCTGCGTCAAAAACTGTTATGGGGTCGCGAACGGTGACGCACTCAGAGCCCAGAGCTGGGAATGCACCCCAGTTGAACCATGCCGGCAGACCGTCCGCGCGCGCCGTGAGCACACGTGACGCCCTCTCCCATGTGCACTGCAAAGGTTCTAGAACTCCTAGCAGCGTGAGAAACCACGCCAGAAATTCCCCTCTTGTGTGATAAGCCAGTCTAGAAGGACCAACGCCTTAAAATAGGCTGTAGTGGACACGCTGATTCATTCTGCTCTTTCTGTATTGTCGTGAATAAAGACTCGCGATTAGAACCGGCTTTGCCTCCTTCTACTTATTACTCCTGGGGACATATCAAAAACATTACAGTTGCGACGAGGTCAGGTAGGCGAGAGGTGAAATACTTAAATGACCTGTTTTAAACCATCAGTTATCTGAAGTCTTTCATACATCAGTGTCTTAAGAAGCCCCACCTTGAGAGTTAAAACGGACAAAACTCTAGGTACCGAAGTGCAAATTTCTATTCAATGAATGCATTAGAGGCAACGGCAAGAATCCTGCACCCATTTGTGATTGGGGTGGTTCATAAATCGGAGTTGACTGCAAGACAGTAGATAATGAGAACAAAGACCCATTATCGGCAACGGAAAAATCAGCAGTGGTCTGCAACATACCGTGCCCAAAATCTTAGTGGGAGATATGTTGGTGAAAAGATCAAGCGTCTTTGCACAATAGTGCATGAGCACTAGATTACAGTCAACCGCGAGGATGGACTATCACTAGTATATGACTGCATATAACAGGAGAAGCACGAATCATGGGCCAAGCAAGTGACAAGACGGCCAGATTGGTGCTCTAAAGTTGATCCTTAGTTGGCAAAATCAACATAACTATTGATCTGCATCCAGTCTGCCAGGCCCTACGTACAAGGCTCCAGGTCGTCTAAAGGGGCTGACAGCATTGGCGAGCAAGCCGTGGCTTCTTTAACAGTTCTCCCCCTCGCATCAGCAGAAAGTACCAGCCGGCGGTCGCACAACCGACGTAAGACGTTTACCCACCTACGCGCCCAGACAGCCGAACGTGGTTTTTTAAAAGGAACGACATCTAATCAGCCCATCCGGTTATGTGGGGAGGGCGCACGTGCAAAAAGAACTCGCAGACGCCACGGCAGCAAAAAGGACACAGAGGTCACACGATAGCGTCAAGGCTCCGTTACGAAGGAATCAATCTTCGGTCAGCAGACACGTCGGGCTTTTTGCGTCAAGCACGCCTACAGCACGTGATAAGCGGTGAGACAGAACAAAACTAGACAAGCAGGAAGAGCCACCTTCACACTCTAATGATTCAAGTTAAGTAATTTCCAAAAAGTTAGCACCAATACAGTGTATCTCAAAAAAAAGTGCCTCGTTTTCTCCTATTTTGGTG